ATATATATATATATATATATATATATATATATATATATATACACACACACATGTGTGTAAGGTGTGGTACATGAATATTTAGCATACCTATGGATGATCGGGACTTATCTAATAGCCTCCGATCATTGTTTTTTTTTTATATATATATATATATATATATATATATATAAAGTGCCAAAATAATCTTGATTATTTACATGAGATCATTTTAGTCTCAGAGTTTATAAAAATGCAAAAATAGTCCTAAGATGACATTTTTATAAAAATAGTCCTAAGATGTAGCCAAGCAAATTAGGGCCAAAATAGTCCCCATGGCCATGGAGGAATATTAGAGCTCAAATTTTAAAAAATCGGTGACTATTTTGACATTTTTATAAACTCTGGGATTAAAACAATCACAAGTAAATAATCATAAATAATTTTAGCACGTTACTATCACATCAACAAATGATTGGAGAACAAAATAAAACTTTATTTCGATATCCAGCATTACAAATTACATTCAAAATTAATTTCGAGAGAAAATACTTTACAAAGAAATCTTTTGTCACTTTGGCCAAGTCATAACTCTTCCGAAGCAACCTCTTATATAAGATTTCTCCCCCAAATTTAAACAAATCCATCTGATCCATCTCGACTTGAATCCGAAGCATGGAGCATGTCTCTCAAAAGTCTTATAGTTCCAAATGAAGAGCAACCAACTCTTCCCGCAGTTCGGGTATCTCCTATCACTAGATCCTAGTCGTCAGAGCGAAGGAATTCTCAATCTTCTCTTGGCGGAGAGCCAACAATCCACGGGGCATCCGATGTCCATCATTTGCTTTCCCGAGGCTTAACAGGGACTGCCCAAGTGGTCAGCCCCGCCACGGCGCCTAGGCTGCCACTATTGGTGTCGCGGTCGGATCCTGACCAATATTTTCTAGAGGCGACTCATCAACATGTATTTGCTTGGCTACATCGAAAGACAATACAAGAAAAGGAAGAGAAAAATTTTGAACCTAACAAGCAAGACCAAAACTTTTCATACCATGTAATCGACACACCACTCTCATCAGGTGGCGGAGGAGCGCTCACAACTTCTTGTGTCCTGAGCTATGGCAGAGCGCCCACAGCTTCTTGTGCCCTAAGTGACGACAGAGCACCAGCAGCTTCCTGTGCAGTAAGTTCAACCTACGGGTCTCAAGCCACGACAAAAGATCGAACCGACGAATCGACACTCGGGCCACCTGAACTACCATCATCATCCACTAGATTTTCCTCTACAGAGAAACTTGAAACAAGTCAACCGCCCCCACTTCATCCATTGGCTCGTCTATTTTCCACTTCTTTATTGTGACTTTCTTCTTCTTCTTCTTCTTACCCTCCAAACAGTATCGCATCGACGACTTTATGAAAGTGGCAAACATCGTTTACTAGCTTGGGAGCTCATCTAGGAGGTTTTGAGCTCATCTAGGAGGTTCAAGACGTTTTCAAAAAAAGCATTGGAAGCTGATGATTTAGACGAAGAGATGTTGAGCAAATATGGAATATCAAAAGAGTTTCATCACACCCTATTTATAAAAATCATGGGCACATAAATCCAAAGAGTTTAATTACTAAAGCTCTGATTATGAAATAAATTTTATCTACTTTCATATTTAATTCTTATATTCTTATTGCAACGTCGCTTTCAAGAAGTAAGAGAATCGAATAATTAAAATTTGTACATCAAGAATGTGTTGGCACAAATCTGAGAAGATCCAACGGTCCAGATGAAAGGAAGCACAACAAATGAGGACCCACCAACACATGACCAACATGCCCACTTATCAAATTGGATCCAGCCATTAGATCAAAGGACGAAGGCAAACCAAGCCAGGACAAGGACAAAAAAACGATCAAACTAGAGCAAGACAGATAAGCACCCTTGCAGCCACCGGAAAGTCAAGCGAATATATTGACCTACCTCTTAGTAAATCTGACCCAAGGAAAGAATCCAGTTCCTCGGCATTACCAACCATCTTATGGATGCCCCTGAGGTTCCTCGTCAGGGACCAAAAATTGGAAATATAATAGAGCCTCATAATCATCTCGAAGGACCCTCTCGTCAAGGAATAAGCTATCTATCGGGTTACGGTAATTCAACCTCTACTCGATAACCTAGTATCATTTTGCCGACAGGAGCTCCTCATCTAGAGATCTAGAATTGATAGTCATCAACCAATCGACAAAGTTGTCTAGCCGATCGAGCCAGTCCTGCTGACCCAAAACTAATCAAGACTAGACCGTCGGATGTACTGACTCAGCCTATCCGACCAAATCGTCCTCATCGAGTAGAGGTCATGCTAGCCGAACAAACTAAGTCATGGGTCAGTCGAATAATTGGCTCATACATGTAAAATATATAGAATATCTCATACACTTCTATTAAAGCAAGGGCATAAAATGTAATATCATATATTGTATCATCTCCTCTATAAATAAGGAGATCAATTTATGAGAAAAAATAACAAACAGAATGTTTTACTATTCATTACAATTCACTTCTCTCTCTCTTTATCATTTCTTACGCTCTAACCGTTGAGATGTGATTCACAGACAAATTAAAATTCAACAAATTTAAATTTTAATCAATTTTCGAGCACTTTAATTTAACAAAAAATCTCACAAATTATCAAATTAATTTATCTAAAATAAACTTTTAAACATATTTCCCAAAATAAATTCAAAGAAAAAGATATTTAGTGAATTATGTATATTATGAGACATATATTATGTAAGGTTACATTTCCCATTAACAAAATAAGAACAAAAATGTAAATTTCTTAAATATAATTTTAAAATTAAAACTTATAATATATGTTTTTTAAAATTATCACAATCATATTGAAATTTTTTTTTTAGGGCAGTTGAGAGATCCAACTCTAGTCTTCACAACTTCTCATATTATTTTCAATCAATTTCCAACACATTTCAGTCGCACATGGGTTTGATCATGAAAAATTACTCATCAACTAAAGCTTCTCCAAAGGGACTGAAGTCACTGAGACTAACATCAACCATGCGCCCAGATTTATCTGGATGTCAATCACTAACAGCTAGGGGTGTAAACGAACCGCTTAAAATAACTCATGAAAATAAAACAATCAATGGATGGATGCTAGCAATAACAGAGCAAGATTCAAAATCATATAGTCTACTAATACGTGTGATTTGATTAACTTCTTAAAATAACTCATGAAAATAAAACAATCAATGGACGGATGCTAGCAGTAACAGAGCAAGATTCAAAATCATATAGTCTACTTATACGTGTGATTTGATTAACTAGGGCTTCGGATGCCTGTTTCAGAGCAATAGCAGAACCCTCAGCATCCGCCTGATTACGATCAAACGGCTTTCCAATCAAACATAATCCTAATACCTTTAGGGTTGTTAAATATTTAATTTCAAGTAGCACAAAAATAAGTTTTAAAAAAAATTCGATTTAAAATTTTGACTCGCAGTTAGACTCATGTATTTCAATCCGAGTTAAAATTCGAAGTAATTTTCGAGAGATTAATGTCTCTATGACGGTTAACTATTCGATTACGAGCTGACTAATCAACTGGCAAAAAATTCTATCATTGTAGCTCTGCTCATTTACTATAATTCGAACAAATTTTCGAATGATTTAGCGATCTTCGACCAATAATCACGCCCCAAAATACTTGGCATGAAAGAAATATACAAAAAAAAAAAAAAAAAGAAAAAAAAACAAGCACCTGTAACTCTGGGGCCAAGCGGTGTTATAGGAGCTCAGTCTGCTGCGCCGCGGACTACCGACGGAGGACTCATCTGATCCGCCGGAATCCTCCTCTTCGTCGTCCTTCGCCGCCTGAACCGAGCTCTCTTCCTCATCGACGGCATCGTCTTCTTCGTCAGCGCTATCGATGTAGATGTTTCGACCGGAGACTCCGCTCTTCATTTCCCTATCTTCTTCTCCTCTCTCTTCCAATCAATTTGGGATGACGACATTTTGCGGGTGGATCTTCGTCGAGCTTAGAAGGAGATCGTCGAAAAAGACAGGAGAGGGAAGAAGACAAGAGCCGGAGAATGCGGGGAAACATTTTCGTATGATTCCGAATAAAGAAAAAAGGTACAGATGACGCGTGGACAGTACACCACACAATATTTGCCGAATGACAAAAAAAATTTAAAAATAGCCGCCCAGCCAACCTGTGCCCTAATGCTCCCCCATTTTACAAAATTTCAAAAATAATATAAAATAAAAATGAATTAGCTCTCACTCTTTAGAAAACTAATTTTCAAAAGCGCCCTCAGCTCCTCATATAATTTACTTTCGTTTTTTTTGTGTTATCACCCGTTGGTTAGTCGTCCGAACGTGTGGTGTCATGACAGAATATTTTCTCTTGAATCACACCTAAGGAATAAAGTCTGGCAGAGAGACAGAGAGGGAGAGAGAAAAAAAAATGAATAGTGATTTGAGAGAAGTGTATAACATTTTATTCATGAAATTACCTCTATTTATAGAGGAATAGGGGCAAGATATTTTGAATTTTATTTGCACTTATTCAAGTTATTACATATATTTTACATAGATGAGCCTAAAGCCTGTTGGCTATATTGAATATGTCAGTCGGTTAAGCTAAAGAGGCATGTCATTCGGTCTGGTGTGGTAAGACTATCGGTCGGCAAAACTAGATAGGTATGTCAGTTCACCTGGTCTGGCAAGACCACCGGTCGGATAGGTTTGATGTTGCAGGTTAGTCGAATTCTTACTTGCAAATGTTTGATAAGATTGACTCGGTCGGCTAAGTGGAGCAGATTGGTTGGTCAATTCTGCTCGCCGACAATGAAAACTTAACGAAGTGCTCATATCGGCTAAGCATAGCCAAACTATTGGGCAGAAGGTGAATCACAATAATTTAATGGGCAGATGTCCTTGGACGAAGGGATTTTGGGGGATGGTTGAGACTCTTATGACTCTCGAAGTTGTTCAAGGAGGTTGTTGAATACCTCTCAAGGAACTATAAACTCGAGGGGTTGGCCTTTTCCCTTGGATTGGTTCTATCATAGGGATGTTCTAGATTCCCATGTGCTTGGCAACCGGTTGAATGGCTCGGGTTTGAGTTTTGCTTTGGTTAGCCTTGATCTTGATGCTTCTGAGCAAATACATGGGCCTCCGAGTCTCATATTGGTTCGCCCACTTTTGACACATCTTGTCTTGTGTGTTGTTAGATCTTCTCCTGATTCACGTAGGTACTTTTTCCTACGTGCAGTCATATATTTATGATGCATATTAGATTAAAGTTCTTCATAGTAAAATTAAAAATCATGTGAACCCTGGTTTCAACAACTTTTAACTCAAAATAAAGAACTCTATTATAAGAGTCCAATGAGATGAAAAGTGATTTAGTTTGTGTCTAAATGTACTTAAATCAAATACTTCAAATATAAAAAAGCTACAAAGTATTAATTGATATTTAAATTTGACAATTTTAAATTGAAATTGAGCATCTTAGGTCTCATTTAGGGTGGCGGTGGACCTGCGGCGCGGCGGAGGGTCTTGATTCAACGATGTTTGGGGCGTCGGGGCAAAAGCTATTCGACCCCGCGACCTGCTTTTTCCCTTCGACTTTTTACTCGCCCGCCCTCTCTTTGTTTTGATTTCGCCCTATTTCCCTCCTACCTCCTTTGGCTCTTGCGCAAGAAAGGAGTGATCTTCTTCCTCCACTTCTTCGACGCATCTCACGCTTGCTGGTTCGTCATCTTCCTCCTCTGTTATTAGAATATATATGAATGCGTTGAGTTTTTTACTTTTAGTTTGCTTCATCACCTTCTTCATCTGCGTGAATGTGAATAGCTCTTTTACTAGAATATATGTGAATGTTTTATATGGATTGAATATAAGGATTCGATGTAAATGTTATACGTTTTTCGCGGCTTGATTTTTTATTTGGTTAGTTCTGTGAAAAAAAAAAGTAATTTCATACATAGATTGGGGATGAAAACTATTTGACGTTCGATTTTTTTTTTAGTAAGGCTCTATCTTAGCTTGGTTCTGTTGGTCTCTTCATGAGGATCCAATAATAAAAATAGGAAAAAAATTTATTGTAGATGCGGCCTGGAGTGGCTTGGGGCTGTGCATGTAGGTTGGCATGGTGTTATGTGGCATGACTTGTCACGAGATGACAATGATCATTCTATTATTTGTACGAAAGAAGGGAAATATGCAAATGAAATTCAATTAGGGAACAAACCGCTTAAGCGTTAGCTGGAGGATGATTGGATTATTTGTAAATTATTCCAAATATTGTGTAATTTATTATCTATGTAAGAAATATTTTAAGCACTCGTGTTATATTTTGAGCACTCATTGTTATGTTTTCTTAATTTATAGTAATATGTACTTTATCTATTATAATTTTGGTTTGCAAATTTCTGCTTTTGAGGACAATTTAGAATGAGACATACATCGACTTCATGTTAAAAATAATACCATCATTATTTTACTTATAATTTTATTATTTTTTCTTTTTCTTTCGCTCTTTCGGTACTCACTCTTAAGTGAGTTGTGTATCTGAACTTTTATTTTATTTTGATATAAAATTATGCTTCTGAAGTATCAAATATGTGGATGTCGAAGTTCTGTTTTAAATAGTTTTACTAAACATGGGTCGAATGATCATTTTTCCAAAGACAACTGCTCCACAGCTGTTTTCACATAGCTGCAACAAACAGACAACCAACTTCTCTGTAGCAATATCGTGGGGCAGTTACAGTTTCTCAGCTTTTCTGAAAAGATGAGAAGCTGCATCTGCTCCAAACCAATAATCAGATGAATCCAATGATATTAATAACATTCAGCTCAACGGTTGTTAATTTAATTAATTATTTACAAAAATAATCTATAAATAAAGAAATTGAATCAAACCATCAGATAATGTTTAGAGATTGTGACTAAATATATCAAAATAATTCATCCCAAAATTTTATATCAATGTAACGGGAGAGGAAGTTAAGAGCAAAATACACATTATTCTAATGGCAGCTTAGAACCAACAAATATCAGCAATGGTTGATAATCTGCATTAGTGAACGTTGTGATCCAATTATTATCTCACAGTTGTTGCAGTTTGTATGATCTTTATAGCTCAATCAAAACTTTATAGCTATCTTCTTTAACTAGAGTGAAGAGTGAATTTCTATAATTGCAATGGTTGATAATCTGCATTAGTGAACGTTGTGACCCAATTATTAGATAAGTAGTGGATAATTGTGATTGGATAGTGTTATTTTTCCTTTAACTCTCCCTTCTTTTATATATTTGCATGTTAAATATTCATGCAATACTATGATATTAACTTATTAATCTTGCACATGTATTTTCTAGCTTACTAAAATGCTTTTGTAAAATCATATATTTGTGTGTAAAAAATTAAAATATTGATATTAGATATATTAATACATAAGAACAAATATTCCTTGCGAAAAAGTATGTTATAATTGAATGATTGGAGGTCAATCCTTGATGGATATTGGCAGGTGAAGAATGTTAGCAATCATCACATCAAAATCAACAACCAATGCTCATCCACAATACCATTTTGATTTGCATCAGCATTTAGGACAATTATTGAAAATTTAAAAGTGTTTAAGGTCTAATCCTGAGATAATTAAAATCAATTTTTATATATGATTTCAATTCATATTCGAGATCCGCGAGTCGTGCACTTAGCGAGCGGGATCATCGGAGTCATAGGGATTCATGAAGAATCACAGAGTAAAGGTTACACGGAAGCGGTTCTCAGGATGAAGGAAATTCATAAATAGATTTGTGTGTTGTGAACTTATAGGATATTCTAGGCATTTCATATGTGCTTGATTGGCTAGTCTAGTAAGGCCTCGACTTGGCGAGATTTGTCTGGTCATCTAACTTGAGCCTTTGCTACCGGTCGGCTGGTCTCAATTGGCTTGGGGTCGGCAGAGCTGATTCGGTTGGCTATGCTTTGGCAATCGATTGGTCTAGACAGGTTGTCAACTTGCAATCCTCAGTGAGAAACTGCTGTCAGCAAAGCAATGCTAGGCAATTTGGCAAAGGGCGAATCACCGCAATCCAATATGTAGTCACCCTTTCATGAAGAGATCATGATGGATGGCTAAAACTTGTCTTATTAATTCTTGATAATGTTCAGAGTACAGTTGGATGTCCCTAACGGAACCACAATATTCAAGGGATTAGCTTTTTCCTCGGGTCAATTTCTTCATGATGATAAACTCGAATTATCTCTTGCTCTTTTATGGTTGAGTCGCTCGGGCCCCGTGATTGTTTTGGGCTTCGTTATTGTTATATCCGGTCGGACGATTAGGCTTCCAAATATTCTGTTTGTTGGTCGTCACTCAATATACCTTATTTCTTCTGGACTATCAGATTTCCTTAAGATCAGTGCACCTATTAATGCTAATTTTTGATGTAAAATATGGGAAGACTAAAATTCGTTACTATTTTCTTACAGTCTCAGCTGTAAAGAACTACTTTGGCCGCTTTCTGAATGGATAGGAAAGCAAGAACCGTTAAATCTTTTAGGAAAATTCAAATACACAAATACCATTCAATTCAATCTATTTACAAATATAACGCCTAAATTTTTATTATATATATATATATA